GGCCAACACGTCTCGACGTTAAGATTTAACATTCACACAAAGCTTGAGGGCAATTTTATTTTTGACCAAACATCAACCAACATGCAAACATTTGCTTGTCACAACCGAACAAAGCCAAGTTGCGTCTTTTTCAGCTTTCAGCTTTTCGGCTTCAGACATCAACGTACCTTTACAATATTTCCGCCAAAACGAAGTTTCGAGATTTGAACACGGGGTCGGGTTCCAGTGGCATAGCATGTACATTGTTGCTGCATGTAAGCTTACATATTTCCGTCGCATACTCGCTGGAAGGCTTGATACCTTTAAACATAGCTGTGTATCCACGAGGCGATACCTTAGTGGATACTACCCAAGTTATGCGGCAATTTTGCATTTTAAATCATACCACTGTAGCTGACAAACCACTTCGTTGTACCGTATTAAACTTCCAAACTTTGACTTACCTAGTAGAAACACAAGAGCGCTGAGAACAGTGAGAGATGCAGCCATATTGAACATACTTCAGGAGAGATCAAACTGCAATGACTGGATATCAGTTTGCGAACTTGCCCGCGAACTGCGAACAGGCTTCCGGTTGGGTCTAGGGCGAGCGAGTGTAGTCTAGGGCGAGCGGGACGAGCCGATAGCGGTCTGGTGACGGGGGAGTGCACGGGGAAGCCTGTAGACATTCCACTGATGCCGCCGTTCCATGATACCAACTCCTGATATCAAGATCTGATTGGTTGAATCGATAACTGTTGACAGCTTTGAGATAAATATTCGACAGATCTTGACAACTGCTTGTAAATTTGCATAATTCTTGCCGAGACCGACAAAGATGGCTTCTGCGTGTAATGCACAGTTCACTGACGTGGAATTCGAGGCAGCTTTGAGCAATTCTTTGCAACATTTTGTTCATATCTCTGATTTGAAACGTGAGCAGAAGCTATGCCTGGAGACTGTGGCGCAGAAGCGTGATGTTTTCGGAATTCTACTGGTTTCGGGAAGAGTCTTATTTTTCAATTGCTGCCGCGTCTACTGAAAGACTTGTGGAACTAGAACGTGCTTGTGTCTTAGTTGTGACGCCTTTAGTTTCTATAATGAAAGACCAGGTTGAAGAGTTGACACGTCTAGGCCTGAGAGCGTTTGCCACCGGCTTAGGAGACGATAAAGGAGAGAAAGGACTGGTCGCCGGTGGATTCGATGCGGATCTCCTCTATGGAAGTCCGGAAACGTTGTCTTCAAAACAGTGGAACTTAGCTTAAACATGGAAGCAAGTAAACTATCTTTAAGTGCATAGTCAGTATACAACATACCCATTTCAATGTCAGACTCTTCCTGAGCAGACGGTTCTTTGGCATATGAAAGCACTGACAATTCTGTAAATGGAAAGAAAACAATATGAGAAACCCCATATGACAGTTATTTTGGAACCGTTATTTTGTGGATGTGTCTATTACTTTATATGAACTAATGCATTTACATCAGTGTATCTTTTTTTTATCATTTATCAATTTTCATACATCATACATCCACTTTTCATCAACTAAGTATCTTACCAAAGTTTTCAGCAGGGTAAGAGTCACCTTCAGGTATTTCTGAAGAGAAAGCATGGAAGATTAGGTAATGATAAAAAAGGATTTTGACAAATGCTACAGAAGTTGAATTGTATGCAGTAATGATAATAATCTTTGACAAAAATGTATTATCCACTTACCATAGCTTGGTGTACTTTGAAAGAGGGGCTGACCTGGCATTAGGTTACACTTTTCGCAGGACCATTCTAGATCTTTGTTATCTCGTACTGCAGGACGGTACTCTTGGCGGGTAATGCCAGTGCCACACTTTCTATGACACCAACGATTACAGGAATCACATAGTATAGCCTCTTGGCGGTTGGTAACTTCATTATTGCAGTTCAAGCATGGATAAACCATCAGTAATCAGGTGTAGAATTTCGCTTTTGTAGATGATACTTTAACAGTGTTATAATCGAGAATGACTGAAAGCATTTTGCGACCTCTTTTATACCATGGCCAGGATCAATAAACAAAGAAAAAACTGCTATTGTCTCACAGCAAAACAATAAAAGATGTGAAAAAGTGGATTGAGCAAAGACACTTTATATCTGCCGAGCGCGTGTAAGAACAATCCAAACACTTCAATTGCAGTATATCAATTAAATTGGGCGGAACGTCCAATTATCAAGTTAGCGTCCTTTTTCGCGTTGTTAATTTTAAAGGACTTTGTGTTGTTAATTTCAAAGGACTCTCTTAAGAAGTTTTGTTAACTACTCCGGATGGCAAAAGTTTAATTGCTTACACACACACTGATAGTTGAATGAAATGCCGAGCTAAACCTACAAGTTTTTATACTTATGTAAATAATAGAAAGTTCCAGAAGCGTCTCTGCATATATTTGCGCTTGCGGGACAATGCATGCTAATTATCAAACACTTTACATTATGACTATGCCTGAAAGGTGATAGAATGAATCGAACTACACAAGCTGATTATGTAAC